CATGATGGATGAGGGGCTAGAGCTAGACTTCTGTCACAGGGGGAGGTGCGGGGCTGACCCCCCAGGGTCTGCAGGCAGAGCCTCTGCCTCTCAAAGCTGGGGCGCCTGGGCGAGGGTCCCCACCCAACCAGGGGTGTTTAAAAGCCCAAAGGGTGTGGGTCTTCCCACTCTGTCCAGAGTCATGGACGCCTGGGTCTTCCCCGTGGCTCTTTTCCTTCTCTGCCTGACTCCCGAGAGCTTGCAAGGCGGTGAGGGCAGCTCAAGGCTGGGGGTTGGAAGGGAGGCATCTGTGACCGGGGCTGGGGGTCCTGGTGAGGCCCTGGCCAGATGTTGGGGTCCTGGAGACAAGGGGGGTTGGGGTGTGGGAAGCCTGGCCTGGTCTGGGCAGAGAATTCAGACATCCAGGGTTTTTGGGGAGCTTGAGGATAGATGCCTGGGCCCTGCCCCATCTCAGCCTCTGGGGTCCCCAGCCTTGAGTCAGCACCTTCTTACTTGCCCAGGGCTGCCCCTGCTGCCTCCTGGTCTGCGGAAAGGTAGGTGGCCCCTCTGGCACTGGCGTCAGGGAAGAGGCCCCATCTCTCCTGCCCTGGGAGTGTGGGTGCTCTCTGGGACTCCTGATGGCAGGCCCAGGAGAGCTGAGGGCCCTTGCTGTCTTCTGGGCAGGGAATCTTATCAAGTGTCCACTCAAGGGTGGGGGGGGCACAGACACCCTGCACTCTGGAAAGAGTCCGCCAGGCAGGACATGCAGCCCTGAGGAGGGGCCTGCGCTGGCTCAGAAGGGTCGCAGGTGTGATGGGGGGAGGGGACAAGGAGAGCCCAGGCAGGAGGCCGAGTGTCATGGAAGGGTCTTTACTCCAGAGACATGGGGGGTCCTAAGGGTAGGAGGAGAGGCTCCCTTGAGCCCTGTTGCATCTGAGCTTCAGGAGAGAAAGATGAGGGGGGAGGTCGGGGGTGAGAAGAGGAGGAGATTTCCAGGGAGGGGAGCCCAGTACAGAGAATGGATGGGAGAGGTGAGGAAGAGGCTGGAGTGGGCTCTGCCCCACAGCCCCCCAGGGCCCCGGCTCAGATACCTTCCTCCAGGCGCAGGGGCCCTCCAGCCTCCACTATCCTGGCCCCAGACTGCTCACGGGCTCTGCCTTCTACCCTCCTGTGACAGCAGGGAAACTGAGGCCCAGGGAGGTGGGTGGCATCCAGATTTCGGCCCCTTAGTCCCCTCCTAAGTTCTCCCACTTCTCCCTGGAGCCCACAGGCTTAGAGAGCCCAAATGGCTACCGATCAGGTAAAGCTTGTAGGGGGTGCTTGGGGAGGGTGGTACACTGGCTCCCAGCTGCTCAAGTACCCTGGGCTCACCGTCTCACTTCTCCGATGGCCTATGGTCCCCCCAGTGGTCTGGGAGCAGGTGAGGCCTGGCATAAGGAAGGGAGGAGTCTGAGGGCAGGGCTCGGGAGGGGGGGTTTGCGGAGGGAGGGCAGGAGCAGGGAAAGCTGGGTTGGGAGGTGGAAACGTAAAGGGGGAAGCAGTCATCTCAGAAATATAGGGGGCCAGGCCAGGTGAGGTGGCTCACGCTTGTAATCCCAGCACTTTGGGAGGTTGAGGAGGGTGGATCACAAGGTGAGGAGTTCGAGACCAGCCTGGCCAACATGGTGAAACCCCGTCTCTACTAAAAGTACAAAAATTAGCCGGGCATGGTGGCATGTGCCTGTAGTCCCAGCTACTTGGGAGACTGAGGCAGGAGAACCGCTTGAACCTGGGAGGCGGAGTTTGCAATGAGATGAGATCATGCCATTGCACTCCAGCCTGGGCATCAGAGCAAGACTCCGTCTCAAAAAAAAAAGGAAGAAAAAGAAATAGGTGGGGACAGAGCTGAGCCCCGGAGTGTCCCCCAGGCATCCTGGCTGGGGAGAGGGGAAGGTAGGCAGGAAGAAAGGGAGTGGAGAGGGAAGGAAAGAAGGAGAGAAGGAAGGAGGAAGGAAAGGAAAGAGAGAGGGAAGGAGAGAAGATGGGAGGCTGAAAGCACCCACGTGTGCTCGGTAGCCCTCCACCCTCAAGGGAAGGGACTGAGTTCCCACAGGCAAGCTGCGTGGAAAGGCTATGGGCAGGCGGGAGGTTCTGGGGATATCCGGGGAGATCCTGGGAGAGGGTGTCCCTCACCTGCTCCCTGTCTCTCCAGCCTATGAAGGGGGTGTGAAACCACAGAGGCCAGGTGAGCCCTGCCCCGGCCCCAGCTCTGCCTCCCCAGCTTTCTCTCACACCGCTCACCTCACCTCATCTGTCTCTCCAGGATTCGGGATCAGGCATGGCCTAGGAATCCAGCCAGGTGACAGCCATAGGGTCCCCTCCTTGCCTCCCTCCCAAGCCACAGAGGGAAAAGGCAGGATTGGAGAGTGATGGGGAGGGAGGCACAGGGAGTCGCTCAGATTTTCTGCTGTCTGGCTTAGTCCAGGGGGGGTCCAAGGGTCTTGTACCCCCACCACAGCTGGGACCCCACACCTCCTCAGCTCACCTCTCCCTCTCTCACAGGCCCTTCCACTCAGAATGGCCACGGAGCAGGTAGAGGTGGGAGTTGGGGAGCTGGAAGGCAGGATTCTACGGGTATCCCTGGCATGGGGATTCCTGAGCCCCTCATCTCTTTTCCAGGCATTGAAGGGGGCGTGAAACCCCAGAACCTAGGTGAGTCTCGCCCAGCCCTGCCTGCACCCCGTCCGCCTCCCTCACTCTTCCTGACTCCCTCCTGCCTTCTCACCCCAGGGTTCAGGACCTTCCCAGGTGCTGCAGCCCAGCCAGATGAGGTGGGGGAAAGCTGTACAGACATGGGAGGGGCATGGAGGTGCCTAATCTTGCCTGATGCTGTGGGGGAAGGGATGCAGCCAGATCAGCATTTCCGAGGTCCCCTCCAGGCTCTCCCAGGCCTCAGAGAAGGCAGAATAGGTGGGAGCCTCATGGGAGGTGGGCAGGAAGGGGACCACAGGGAGTTCTGATGTCTGGTTGGTGAAGGGATACACTGGCTCCTTCATCTGCCCATCTCTCTTCCCAGGCTTTGGAGGGGCTGTGAAACCCTAGAAGCCAGAGGCGAGCCCGCCCCATACCCGTCCTAATGTCCACTTCCCGCTGTCTGTCTCTGTCTCCGCTTGACGCCCCTGTCCCCCCTCCTCATGCCCCTCTGGCTCTGTCTCCCCAGGATATGGAAACGGGCTGGGAGCAGGGGCCTTCCCAGGGGCTGGAGCACAGCCAGGTGAGGATGTAGACAGGTGGGGCAGAATCTGGGCTTCTGGGAGGGAGGAGTAGGTATAGCAGAGTCAGGGAACCAGAGGCTGGGAGAGCTGGGCTCTGGAGGGTGGGCAGGGCTCAGCCACTCTGTCCCTTCCCAGGCCCGGGAGTGGGTGTGAAACCTCTGAAGCCAGGTGAGGTACAGCCCTGCCCCACCCTGCCCAGTTCTATCCAGGCGCCTCTGTGTCCCCCAAGCCTGCCCACCCCACAGCTCATGGACCTCGCCTCTGTCTCCCCAGGATTGGAGAGCAGAAGTGGTTTGGGTGCTGGCACTCTTCCAGGGGCAGGAACCCCACCAGGTTCTGTCTCCCATCTTTCTCTCACACCCAAGGGTGCCTGGGCAGGGGCCACAGGGAGGGGCAGGCAGGAGGGCTCGGGGTCCTAACCCTCATTCTTAGGGGAGGAGTTCTTGGGATCAATGTCGGCCTCTTTCTAGCTCTCCCCAGGCCTGGGGAAGAGGAAGGCTCAGAAGTGGGTGAAGGGAGGACCCCACCCCTGTGCTGCCTCCCTGCCACACTCGCCGTGTCCCGTCCCTCTCTGTCCCCCTCTTAGTCTGCCACCCTCCCCAGGCACTGGTCCCTTTGTGGCTTGCCGATGCCATGCCTGTGACTGGGGACTCCTGGGGAGGCCTTTGAGCTGCCCTCTGGGCACATGCCCTTTGAGAACTGTCAGGGCGTGGGACACAGTGGTGCTGGGGTGATGTTTAGACCACAGAACTGCACCCCACATGGCCTAGCTCCAGCCTCTGCCTCCCTCACCCCACAGGCCCAAAACCAGGCCAGGGAGGGTGGGGTGGAGCTGAGGGCCTGGGCTTGGGTCTGGGGGCTGGAGGGAGCTGCAGTCTCCCTTCCCTGGTCTCTCTTTTCCTGGCATAGGGGGCGGTGAGACCTCCGAAGCCAGGTGTGCCTGCCTTGTCCTGTGTCCCTGTCCTCCACTCCCCCATGCACACACATCGGCCTAGTCTCCGCTTCCTCCTTCCACTAGGTCTCCCAGGATCTGGTGATGGGGATGGGAAGGGAGCTGGGGACTTCCTGGGAGCTGGAGCCCAGCCAGGTGAGGGCATCTGGACTAAGCTAGGATTCTAGAAGGAGACACAGGGAAGAGATAGGGGATGTTAGAAGTCCAGAGAGCAGAAAGTTGATTTCTTGGGGAGGACAGGAAATGGGGGGGGGTCCGTGAGCCCCTGCTCTCCCGTCCCCCATCTTGATTGTGGCCCCTGCATCTCTAGTCTTCTCCCACCCTCAAGTCCTCCCCAAATCCACCCCTCACACACTGCTTTTCCTCCCAGGATACAGCAATGGAAACAGCCCAGGAACCCAGCCAGGTGGGGGCCAAAGGGGCTGGGGTGGCTGGGAGGGAGAGGTCAGGGGCCCGGGGCCACACTCTGGGTCCCTGATGGGCTCTTGGGGGTTCACTCATTCACCCAATCTCCTCTGAGCACCCACCCACCCTGAGCCAGGCCTCAGCTGGGCAGGGAGGACACTCCAGCTGGTCAAGTGCGGCCACGGTCTGGACTCCCAGGCCAAGAGCCAAATCCAACCACGACTGCGGTCAGTCCTGGGAGGGAGTTCACATGAGACACACCAGGAGAGGGCAGAGGCCACGAGAAAGAAAGGGAGAGGGCAGGGCTCCAGGCCCCAGCTCACACCAACTGCAGCGCCTCCACACTGCTGTGTCTGCTCCTCAAACAGGTCCTGCCGCTCAAAATGGCTTTGGACCAGATAAAGAGGATGGGGACGGAAGCAGGGAGCCTGGGGCTGAGATTCTGGGCACAGGCCCAGAGGAAAGGATCCCTCACGCTCCCATCGTCCCCCCAGGCTTTGGAGAGGGTGGAAAACCCCAGAAGCCAGGTGAGCCCCACCCTGTCCCTGTCTCCCTGCCCATTTCCTGTGCATCCGCTGCTGCTTCCCCAGAGTCCCGGATCTCCACATTCTCTGTCTCCCTGGGATGTGGGAATGGGAATGGGTGGGGAGCCGGGGACTTCCTGGGAGCTGAAACCCAGGCAGGTGGGGCCCTGGAGTTCTGGAAGCATGGAGGTCTTAGGGGTTGGGGGTTACTAATGGGGGTGGGGGCCTGGCCCTGGTTCTGAGTGGAGAGGAAGGGCCGGGTGGACTTGCAGGGAGTCCTTTCTCTTCTCTTCCCAGACCTGAGAGGACTACAGCCTCAGACATCAGGTGAGCGCCACCCTCTGGCCCCCCAGCTTGGTCTCACACAACAAACCTCATTCAACAAACCAATCCAGGCCTGGAGCAGTGGCTCACGCCTGTAATCCCAACAGCTTGGGAGGCGGAGGCAGGTGGATCACTTGAGCCCAAGAGTTCAAGACCACCATGGGCAACATTCCCAAACTGGCCTTGAACTCTTGGGCTCAAGGGATCCACTTACAAAAAAAACACAAAAATTAGCCAGGTGTGGTTGCACATGTCTGTCATCTCAGCTACTCTGGAGGCTGAGAAGGGAGGACCACTTGAGCCCAGGAGGTCGAGGCAGTAGTGAGTGGAGATCTTGCCACTGTACTCCAGCCCTGGTGACAGAGGGAGGCCCTGTTCAAAAAAAAAACTAATCCATGGACCATGCCTATTCCAAGCCAACCAGGTGCTGGGGACAGGCCCTCCCCAAACCAGGGCCATGCTGGGACATAAAATGTGGGCTGAGGCTGCCCCAGAGCCAGGCCCTGGGCATTCTGGGCAGGAGGTAGTGGAGGCCAGGGAGGAGAGAATGGCCCAATCCTCTGAGAAACTGGACCAAAAAGAGTTTTGAATGGCCGGGCGTGGTAGCTCATGCCTGTAATCCCAGCACTTTGGGAGGCCAAATTGGACAGATCACCTGAGATCAGGAGTTTGAGACCAGCCTGACCAACATGAGGAAACCCCGTCTCTACTAAAAATACAACACAATTAGCTGAGCGTGGTGGCACATGCCTGTAATCGCAGCTACTAGGGAGGCTGAGACAGGAGAATCGCTTGAACCTGGGAGGCAGATGTTGCCATGAGCCAAGATGACGCCATTGCACTCCAGCCTGAGCGACAAGAGTGAAACCCAGTCTCAAAAAAAAAAAAAAAAAAGGGGGGGGGGAAGAGTCATAAAAAATTTAAAAAAATTTTTTTAAATAAATAAAAATCTGCCGGGCGCAGTGGCTCAAACCTGTAATCCTAGCACTTTGGGAGGCCGAGGCGGGTGGATCATGAGGTCAAGAGATCGAAGCCGGGCGCGGTGGCTCACGCCTGTAATCCCAGCACTTTGGGAGGCTGAGGCGGGTGGATCACGAGGTCAAGAGATCGAGACCATCCTGGTCAACATGGTGAAACCCCGCCTCTACTAAAAATACACAAAATTAGCTGGGCATGGTGGCGCGTACCTGTAGTCCCGGCTGAGGCAGGAGAATTGCCTGAACCCAGGAGGCGGAGGTTGCGGTGAGCTGAGATTGGGCCATTGCACTCCAGCCTGGGTAACAAGAGCGAAACTCCGTCTCAAAAAA